GGAGCCCCAACGAAGGAGTAAAGGGAGTACAGCAGCAGCAGCAAGTAGCGCGACACGCGGGGGACCCCACGCGCTATCACCTGCACCAAACCCTAAACCCTAAACCCTAAACCCTAAACCCTAAACCCTAAACCACGGAGCCTGAGCCCGGGGTCCTCAACTCTAGATCTGAGGACGTCAAGTCCGGGGACTCAAACTCTAGCCTCTAAACCCTAAACCCTAAACCCTGAGCGTAAACCCTAAACCCTAAACCCTAAACCCTAAACCCTAAACCCTTACCTTTTGGTGCTTCACGGGCGGAGCCTTCTCCCCCGTACTAACTTCGACGCCCTCCATTTGACAAGAAGGTGGGGTTGTTGTTATTTAGTTCAAATCGCAAAACCCTCGAAAATTCGCGGCAAACCCTCGGCCCCAAACCCTAAACCCTAAACCCTAAACCCTAAACCCTCAGCACTAGACCCTGGTACGTAAAAATCGCGGCCTTCGGGCCCCAGAGCCTTCCACAAAGTAGCAGCAGGTAAAGAGCCCTCTTCTGTAGCCTCGGGCGTTAACTGGTGAGGGTTTAGGGTTTAGCGTCTAGGGTTTAGGGTTTAGGGTTTAGGGTTTAGGGTTTCAGGTGCGATCTCTGTGCACGAATTGCTCGAGGGACCAGCCGCGGCTCATTAACCAACTTCGCGGTCCCCAAACCCTAAAAAGGGGTATAAAAAGAACTTAAAAATGAAAATAATCTAAAAAGGGGGAAAACAAAAGTATAAAACCCTAAGCGCTTAGCAGCAAACCATGCAGCTACTTGAGGCAGCAGCAGCAGCAGCAGCAGCAGCAGCAGAAGCAGCAGCAGCTGCAGCCCCGCAGGGGCCCCCCATTTCTTTACTTTTTTGTCTTTTCCTTATTTATTTATTTTTTATTTTTTATTTTTATTTCTCTTTTTGTTTCTTTTCATTTTGCTGCTGCGCTGCTGCCATTTGCTGCTCCCCCAGGACAGTCCGCCGCGCGGTCGCGAGCTCCGAGGGTTTAGGGTTTAGGGTTTAGGGTTTAGGGTTTAGGGTTTACGGTTTAGGGTTTGGCCCTGGGGCACTTTCTTCTACGTATACGTCGTCCAGCTTTCTCTGGGGACTTCGCTGTGGCCGAAGGACTCCCCGGCTGCGCGCTAAACCCTAAACCCCAAACCCTAAACCCTAATTCCAAAACCCTAAACCCTAAACCCTAAACCCTCTCTCGCCGTCCGCTGTGCGCTGCCCCTGCATGCCCATCGCTGCAGCTGGCAGCCTCGGGCTCCCTGAGCCGCAGGCTAGGGTTCAGGGCCTAGGGTTTAGGGTTTAGGGTTTAGGGTTTAGGGTTTAGGGTTTAGGGTTTAGGATGTCGCGGTTTGTTAAGGCCTACTTGAAGGCCAAGAGGCTAAACCACCGCCAAACCCCCTCGCCCTTCACTCCCAAGTTTTTGGAGTTGAGCAAAGAGCCTTCAGTGCCTCCGCCTTTAAGAGAAAGGGTATTTAATTAATTAATTAATTAATTAATTAATTAATTAATTAATTAATTAATTAATTAATTAATTTGATTAATTAAATTAATTAATTAATTAATTAATTATTGTTTTGCTCGGGTTTTCTGGTTTTGCGTTGACGGGGTTTGATTTGCTGCGCGCCGGCTGATTTAGGGTTTAGGGTTTAGGGTTTAGGGTTTAGGGTTTGGGGTTTGGGGTTTGGGCGTTGCGGCTGCAGCAACAGCCGCAGCGCGTGGACTTGGCGAAGCACTTGAACATAAAGGAAGGAGATTTAGTGGAGGTCTGCCAACAAGGGTTTAGGGTTTAGGGTTTAGGGTTTAGGGCTTAGGGCTTAGGGTTTAGGGTTTTGGTTCACAGCTCAAAGATCTACATTTGGGATTTGGGTTCGAACTCTGGGCCCTGGAACTCGAGGGCCACGGGTGAGGGTTTCTCTTTCAGGGTTTAGGGTTTAGAGTTTAGGGTTTAGGGTTTAGGGTTTAGGGTTTAGGGTTTAGGGTTTGTGTCCCCTTAGGTGCTGCACGGCCGCGACCAAAACCGCCGTGGAATTATTTTGAAAATAAACCACCGGAGAAATACCGCAATTGTGGAGGGATGCAATCTTGTAAGTGTTCTTAACAATGGCTAGCTAGCTAGCTAGCTAACTAGCTAGCTAGCTAGCTGGCTAGCTGGCTAGCTAGCTAGCTAGCTGAAGCAGCAGCTAACAGGCAGGCTAGCTGGCTAGTCAGGTACAGCAGCAGCTAGCCGGCTAGCTCGCCAGCTAGCTAGCTAGCTAACTGAAGCAGCAGCTAGCTAGCTGGCTAGCTAGCTGGCTAGCTAGCTGGCTAGCTAGCTGGCTAGCTAGCTGATGCTTTGTGTAGCTGGCTGTTGGCTGTTTCTGCAGCTAGCTAGCTAACTGCGGCGAAAGCCTGCCGACCAGCTAGCTGGCTAGTTGCCTGTACTAGTAGCTAGCTGACTAGCTAGAGCAATGGCTAGCTGGCTAGCTAGCTAGCTGGCTAGCTGGCTAGCTAGCTAGCTGGCTAGCTGGCTAGCTAGGGCTCGAGGCAGCAGATTCGCTAGCTAGCTGTCTGGCTGGCTAGCTAGCGAAGCAGAGATGGGTTCGCCGTTTGCTTTTTTGCAAAGTAGTGAAATTAAATCGGATTTAATTAAAATGAAATCAAATGGAAATAAGTGAATTATATTTAATTAAATTAATTAAATTAAATTAAATTTAATTCTGTTTCTCTTTTGTTTCTTTCGCTCGGAGTTCAGCTTTTCGCGCTTTCGCTTGCTTTCTGGATTGCACTGTGGAAACTGGCGCGAAAATGCGAAACTGGGGCGTTTAATTTGATTTTAAAAACTAAAATGGATTAAATTTTGTTTTTTAATTCTTTTTTATTTCTTTTTTTGTTCTTTTCTGCTTTTTTTTGCAGAAAAAAAGCTTTTGGAGTCCTCGAGTTGGCGGCGCTTCGATCGCGACGGAGGAGCTGCCTATACACCTCACGAACTTGGCGCTCCTCGACCCCATTGTCAAGTCCGATTATTTATTTCATTTATTTCATTTATTTATTTTTTTATTTATTTTATTTATTTATTTATTTATTTATTTTATTTGTTTTGTTTATTTTGTTTATTTCAACTATTTCAATTGTTTTAATTGTTTTATTTGCTTTATTTCGCTGTTTTCGCCGTTTGTTTGCATTTCTTAGTCGTTTAGAATCTGTTTATTGAGCTGTTTATTATTTATTTATTCATTTATTTATTATTAATTATTTATTTATTTATTTATTATTTATTTATTTACTTATTTATTTATTATTTATTATCTATTTATTTATTTATTATTAATTTATTAATTTATTTATTATTTATTATTAGGAGGCCAACTCGAGTCAAAAGGAGATATATGATGAATGGAGAAGTCGTTCGCATTTCTAAACTTTCGGGTAAATTCTTTTTTTAATTTTAATTCTTTTTGATTTATTTTCAGTTTATTTTTAATTCTTTTAAATTCATTTTTACTTTATTTTTATTTAATTTTAATTTCGTTTCATTTGCCACTTATTCAATTTCATTTGTCTCTTTTTTGTTTTATTTTATTTGCTTCCTTTTCATTTGCTGCTGCTGCTGCTGCTGCTGCTGCTTTCTTTAAATTAAATTTATTTATCTTTCATCATTTATTTTGCGAACTTTTTTATTTTCTTTTTATTTCTTCAGTTAAATTTATATGCTTTCAATTAATTGATTTGCTTCTTTTCTGTCACATTATATTTTGTTATTTGTTAATTTATTTCCTCTTTATTTCCTTTTCTCATTTGTCTCTCTCCGTCTTCATTTTTTTCTTTGGCTCCTCCAAAACTATGAGGGTTTAGGGTCTAGGGTTTAGGGTTTAGGGTTTAGGGTGTAGGATTTGGGGTTCAGGGTTTTGGTTTTGGGGTTTAGGGTTCCGGGTCTAGTGATTATGGCTCAAAAATTAACGGTTTTGTGCTTCAGGTTGAGGGTTTAGGGTTTAGGGTTTAGGGTTTAGGGTTTAGGGTTTAGGGTTTAGGGTTTAGGGTTTGCGCAGGTTGTGCTATGCCGGAGCCGCTGACTCCGCTTCCGAGGCCCCCCAGTCTTTACCAGCAGTTTTTAAGGGAGAAGGCCAAGGGCCCTCCAATCAAGGCACGCCAAACCCTAAACCCTAAACCCCAAACCCTAAACCCTAAACCCTAAACCCTCATTCGCCACCTCCACGCCAACTCTGCCGCAGCAGCAGCACTTCCGGACACAACTTGCACTCCTCAGGCACAGCTAGCTAGCTAGCTAGCTAGCTAGCTAGCTACCTGGGTAGCTAGCTAAGTAGCTAGCTACCCGACTAGCTAGCTAGCTAGCTAGCTAGCTAGCTGGCTGGCTGAATAGCTAGCCAGCTATCTAGCAAGCCGACGACTAGCTAGCCGTTTGTCTACACACCCAGCCAGCCAGCTAGCTACCCAGCTAGCTAGCTAGCTAGCTACCTAGCCAGCTAGCTAGCTAGCTAGCTAAGCAGTTTGTGGCTGTGTGTTTCAGGAAAAGTATGCAAATCCCGACCCGCTGCACATGCAGCTGCTGAAGCAGCTGGCGTTTTCTTTCCTTAACAAACAGCCCGGCGCTCCCGCTGCTGCTGCTGCTGCTGCTGCTGCTGCTGCTGCTGCTGCAGAGCTGCAGCAGTAGAGGGGCCCTGCATGCATGCCTTTTGGGGCTTTTTGACTCTTTTGGTTTTTGCGTTTTTGTTTGAAATAAAAAATACCCACTGAGAAGAAACTGCTTTTTATATTTATTTATTTTTTTATTTAGCTGTTATTTAGTTATTCACTTTTTTAATTTTTTATTTTTTATTTACATTTTTTTATTTACATTTTTTCTTGATTGTTTTCTTGTTTGCTTATTGGCGCATTTATTCATTTGTTATTTATTTGCTTTTTAATTTATTTGTTTGTTCACCCACTTGATTATTTGGCTTTATTTATTCATTTGTTTATTATTCATTTATTCATTTGTTATTTATTTAATTATTAGTTTTTTATTCATTTATGTTTTTATTCATTTTTATTTTTTTCATTTTAATTTAAAGGCAGAGGCGCATGCAAGCAGTGTATGTACAGCTCGAGTTGTGGCTGCAAAATAAAAGACAGAAGAAGTAAATTGAAAAAATAAATTTTATTTTTAGTTATAAATGCATTTGAGTCCTTTAGTTAGTTTTTATTGCGCTGCCAACTCAACAACAGAAGCCCCAAAGCAACTGCGGTGTACGTACACCACCATGCATGCATGCATGCATGCATGCATGCATGCACGAATGCATGCGTGCATGCAAAGTCCCCTAGCCCCTCTAGGGGCCCCCAACTACGCCCGAGGGGGCCCCCATGAGGGCCCCCACACGTAGGCCTTTTACGGGGGCCCTAGTGCCCTCCAGGGGTCCCCTTGGGGGCCCCCTTATCCAGCTACAGAGGTCCCAAAGGGGCCCCTAAATGGGGGCCCCCCTAGGGGCCCCCAGAGGGACCAGCAGGGGCCCCAGAGACCCACCGAAACCCCAAAGGGGCCCCCAAGTAGGGGGGCCCCTAGGGGCCCCCAGCAAGACCAGCAGGGGCCCCCACGGAGAGTTAGTGAACCTCCTAAAGGCCCACTGGGGGCCCCCCATGGGGCCCCAGTGGGCCCCCTTTCGGGGGCCCCTGGGGGCCCCCCTAGGGGCCCCCAAAGGGGCCCCTAATGAAGTCACTGGCACTGATTAGAAGGAGTTGATTGTCTTTGTTTTAATATCCTTTTTTGTGTTTAGGGTTTTAGAGGAAAGGGTTTAATAAGGGTAATAAAGGGAAAAAGTAAAAAAGGGTTTGTTTGGCTAAGCATTGTGTTGAAAAAATAAAGAAAATAATTAAAAATAAAAGAAAAAATAAAGAAAATAATTAAAAATAAAATTATTTATTATTTATTTTTATTTAAATTCTTTTTTAATGCCTTCTTTGCCAGTCTTCCGTTTCCCTGTGAGCGGGAGCGTCCAAGTGCTGCTGCAGTGACCCTGCTGCTGCTGCTGCTGCTGCTGCTGCTGCTGCTGCTGCTGCATGCTCTAGCTCCAGCTTCTCCGTTGTTCCGCCGCCACAAAAGAAATATTTAATTAAATTAATTAAAAATAAATCAAATGACTCATTAGTTTTCTTATTGTGGTGTCCCAGAGAGCGAAGGAGCTGAGGTGTATGTACACCCCGCGGCTGTCGCCGTCGCCGTCTCGTGGCTTTCTGCTGCGGGACAAAAGACCTTCAAAGGTCAAATAAATCCTTTTAATTTATTTAATTCTTTAAATTTAATTATTTTAATTCCTTTTTTACTTCAATTTCAAACGGGAAGACCCCAAACACCATGAGCTGCTGCGCTGGCCGCCTCTTCCTCTCCTGAGATGGCCAAAATGCACACTAACAAACCAGCTGCAGCAGCAACTGCTGCTGCTGCTGCTGCTGCTGCTGCTGCTACTGCTGCTGCTGCTGCTGCGGAATCAGCCTGCTTTTCTCCCCGTGGAAGCCAGGCAAAAGCGGCTTCTCGGGCGAAACCCGCAGCAGCAGCAGCAGCAGCAGCAGCAGCAGCAGCAGCAGCCGCAAAAGCCCACCGACGGCTCTTCAGTGGCCTCTGTCTTCTGCTCTTCTGTGAGTCCCCAGAAGCTCAAATTCCCCGAAGAAGGGTTTAGGGTTTAGGGTTTAGGGTTTAGGGTTTAGGGTTTGCGGTGCGTGTTTGTGCTTCAGTCTCCTGCAGCGCTGCTGCTGCTGCTGCTGCTGCTGCTGCTGCTGCTGCTGAAATTTCTTTAGAGCCCAATAAGGAAATTGTATTTATTTTTGGAAAGCCTGAATGCGAGGAGTGGGTAAAAAGAAAGAAAAATGAAATTGAATTAATTAAATAATTGTTATTTCAATTAATTAATTCTTAAATTGAATCAAATAAATAAATTAAATAAATTAAATAAAGTAAATAAATTAAATAAATAAATATATTAATAATTAATTAATTAATTATTAATTATTTTTGCAAAAAAAAGAATGAAAGAAATCCTTTTACAGCTTTTTCTAAGCTGCATTACTGGCAGCAGCAAAACTAAACAAAATAAAATGAATGAAATAAAATAAAACTTTTAAATTAATTTTTAATTTGGAAAAATAAATAAAATAATTATTTGGCAAATAGCAAATCAAAGAAAGTTATTAAAGGCTTTTCATATGTTTGTTTTTGCTGCTGTTTTCCTTTTTTAAATTAAATATTTTGATTTATTTAACTTCTTTCTTTTAATCAAAGTTTGTTTCGCTAATTTCCATCGAATAAAAAAACAAAAAAACACACTTCAGGGTTTAGGGTTTAGGGTTTAGGGTTTAGGGTTTAGGGTTTAGGGTTTAGGGTTTGCGCGCGCAGCCGCTTGCCGGTGGAGCTGGAGGGGCTGATATCTGAAGCTGCTGCTTTGACGCGGATAAGGAGACAAAAGGGGACAGGAAGTGGTTTGCTGCTGCAGCAGCGGACTTCAGAAGCAGCAGCAGCAGCAGCAGCAGTGCGAGTTGCTGCTGCAGCAGCAGCAGCAAAAACCAAAGGCACTGCCCGCTCCCACACTGTCTATACGCTGCAGCAAAACTCTCCCAGACGCTCTTTGCTGCGGCAAGTAGAAACCATCAGGCTGGGCAAAAGCAAAAAGAAACGCAGCAGCAGCAGCAGCAGCAGCAGCAGCAGCAGCAGCAGCAGCAGCAGCAGCAGCAAGCACCTCTGTAGCTTCGACAGGGTCACCCTGCACCACCTGCACTGCCACGTCATCTCCACCAAACACTGCAAACAGTTCCTAGACCCAGACATCCTCAAAGTACAAACCCTAAACCCTAAACCCTAAACCCTAAACCCTAAACCCTAAACCCTTATTCGGCAGCTGCAGACTGCTGCTCGTTGAACTGCGGGGGTTTGGATGCTTCGGCCTTTTGCCGGGACCCCCTTTCCCTCCTGAGCTCCGAACCACGTTGCTAGGGTTTAGGGTTTAGGGTTTAGGGCCTAGGGTTTAGGGTTTAGGGTTTAGGGTTTAGGGTTTAGGGTTTAGGGTTTAGGGTTTAGGGTTTACAGCCAATCGTTGACACGCCGCTGATGCGGTGTCTCCATATCGTAACATATATTTATCCTTCCCAACTAGCTAACTAGCTAACTAGCTAGCTAGCTAGCTAGCTAACTAGCTAACTAGCTAGCTAGCTGGCTAGCTGGCTAGCTGGCTAGCTGGCTAGCTGGCTAGCTGCCTAGTTGGCTATGTTGTAGTTATTTATTCATTTATTGATTTATTGATTTATTGATTTATTGATTTATTGATTTATTGATTTATTGATTTATTGATTTATTTATTGATTTATTGATTTATTTATTGATTTATTTATTGATTTATTTATTTATTTATTTATTTATTTATTTATTTATTTATTTATTTATTTATTTATTTATTTATTTATTTATTTATTTATTTATTCTTCAGGAGGCGGCGGGACTATATCAGAACAGCCGATGAACACAGTCGCCATTATCGACTTCGGATTCAACTTGGGTCAGCTTTTATTTATTTGTTTTTATTTTTATTTTTATTTTTATTTTTATTTTATTTTAATTAATTAATTAATTAATTAATTAATTTATTTATTTATTTACTTTTATTTGTTTTGTTTTTTGTTTGTTTTGCTGGCTATGTTTTTAGTTTTTGTTTATTTACTTTGTTTTTATTTGTCTTCTTTTTGTTTACTTTGATTTTTTTATTTTCCTTATTTTACTTTTTGTTTATTTTGTTTTTATTTATTTTATTTTTTCAAATAAAGTGAATAAATTAATCCTTTAATTTTAAATCAATATAAAAAAGAACTTTACTTCTAAATGCCACTTCAGTCTTCCTTCCCCAGCTAGCTAGCTAGCTAGCTAGCTAGCTAGCTGGCTAGCTATCTGGCAGACTAGCTAGCTAGCTGGCTAGCTATCTGGATGGCTAGCTAGCTAGCTGATTCCCTAGATGTGTCCAAATAGAAGCCGCTCCAAGAATCCCAAAAGCCCACCAGGACGCCAAAAGAAATTCCCCACCGCTGCTGCTGCTGCTGCTGCTGCTGCTGCTGCTGCTGCTGCTGCTGCTGCTGCTGCTGCTGCTGCAGCGCACGAAGACTTGATAGACAGTTGGTGGCGAAATGCCATTTTTGAATTTCCCGAATATTCCGAATGGCCAGATAATTGTTTTGACGGAATCGACAATGACAACAACGGATACGTCGACGACTGCATGGGATACGTGAGCCAAACCCTAAACCCTAAACCCTAAACCCTAAACCCTAAACGCCACACCCTACACCCTAAACCCTACACCCTAAACCCTAAATCTTAAGCTCTAAAACCTAGACCCTAAACCCTAAACAGTAAGCCCTAAACCCTACACGCTAGACTCTAAACCCTAAACCCTAAACCCTAGGCGCTTTAAAGCCCTGAACCCTTAACGCTTCTGAGGTTTACACCCTAAGCTCTTCAAAACCCTAAAGCCCAGACGCTTCAAAACCCTAAACCCTAAACCCTTCAAAGTCCCAAACCCTGAAATAGCTGTTTGGCTGGCTAGCCAGCTAGCTAGCCAGCTATCTATATGCCTATTCGCCTGGCCAGCTGGGCGGCTAGCCAGTTAACTAGCTAGCGAGCTAGCTAGCTAGCTAGCGAGCTAGCTAGCTAGCTAGCTAGCTAGCCAGACAAATAAGCACCTATCCACCTAGCCGCCCAGCCAGCTAGCTAGCTAGCCATCTATCTAGCTAGCCAGGTACCTAGCTATCTAGCTACCCAGCTAGCCGCCTGGACAGCTAGCTAGCTCCCCAGCTAGCTAGCTAGCTCCCCAGCTAGCTAGCTAGCTACCCAGCTGGCTAGACACACCGCTAGCCACCTATCCAGCTACCTAGCTCGCTACCCAGCAAGCCACGTACCCAGCTAGCTAGCTATCCAGCTGCACAGCTAGCTCTCCAGCTAGCTAGCTCCCCAGCTAGCTGGCTAGCCAGCTACCCAGCTAGCTAGCTAGCTACCTAGCTAGCTAGCTAGCTCCGAAGCTAGCTGGCTAGCCAGCTGCCCAACTAGCTAGCTAGCTAGCTAGCTAGCTCCCCAGCTAGCTGGCCAGCCAGCTGCCCAGCTAGCTAGCTAGCTAGCTAGCTAGCTAGCTAGCTAGCTGCGTGCTTCTGGGCGCAGGACTTCTCCGGACGCAGCGGAAACCCCGAAAGCTTCTCAGGCCAACACGGCACTGCTGTGGCCAGCACTTGCTGCGCCTCGACAAACAACCAAAAGGGAGTGGCCTCTTTGGGGTGGAACTTGAGGCCAATGGCTTTGAAGATCGACGTGAGGGTTTAGGGTTTAGGGTTTAGGGTTTAGGGTTTAGGGTTTAGGGTTTAGGTGGGCAGGGAGAGGCGCAGGGGTGGGGATAGCGCCTGGACAAACAACCAAAAGGGAGTGGCCTCTTTGGGGTGGAACTTGAGGCCAATGGCTTTGAAGATCGACGTGAGGGTTTAGGGTTTAGGGTTTAGGGTTTAGGGTTTAGGGTTTAGGGTTTGGCGGAGATTGGGGTTTTAAGAGGTGGACCTTACCCTGCTGGGTGTAAGTTTTTGTAGCTGGAGTTTAGGGTTTGCGAGGCGTGTGGCAAGCGAAGGTGTGGGGTTTAGGGTTTGAGGATGTGGTTTAGGGTTTAGGGTTTAGGGTTTAGGGTTTAGGGTCTGGGGTTTGGTGCATATGATTCAGGGTTTAGGGTTTGGGGTTCAAGGGTTTTGGTTTTGGGGAGAGAGCTTCGAAGCTAGAGCTGTGCTTGCATTACGGCTGTGACATTAGGGTTTAGGGTTTAGGGTTTAGGGTTTAGGGTTTAGGGTTTAGGGTTTGTGAATGCAGGGTTCTTATTCTCAAATTGCAGAGGCCCTGAACTACGCAGCAGACAAAAACGTTCGAGTTGTTAACATGAGCTTTGGGGGCCCCCCGTGAGGTTTTATTTATTTATTTATTTATTTATTTATTTATTTATTTATTTATTTATTTATTTGTTTATTTGTTTATTTATTTATTTTATTTTATTTTATTTTATTTTATTTTATTTACTTGGGTGATTGGGTCTGCTTTTGCTTTTGGTTTTATTCCCAGTAGTTGACACAAGAACAATTCTGCTGCTGCTGCTGCTGCTGCTGTTGCTGCTGCTGCTGCTGTTGCTGCTGCTGCTGCTGGTACTATTATTATTGCCGCTGCTGTTGCCGCTGCTGCTGCTGTTGCTGCTTCTCCTGCTGCAGCTGCTACTGAGTTTTTTCTGCTGCTTGTGCTGGTTTTATTGCTGCTGCTGATTCTATTGCTGCTGCTGCTGCTGCAGCTACTGCTGTGTCTGCTGCTGCTGTGACTGCTGCTGCTGTGATTCCTGCTGCTGCTGTGACTGCTGCTGCACATGTGATTGTTGCTGCTGCCGTTGGAGCTGCCGCTGCTGCATTGCCGCTGCGGACGTCACCCTTTCCGCTGCTGCTGCTGCTGCTGCTGCTGCTGCTGCTGCTGCTGCTGCTTGTGGCTCAGTTCTGCTGCGCTGCGGGCAGCTTTGTCAGTTGCTGCTGCTCGCAACATGAGTTTGGTGGTTGCTGCTGGAAACCACCGCTGCGACTTTGCTGCTGTGGATGCAGCAGCAGCAGCAGCAAAGTGTTTTTCTCATCAAGGGTTTATCAAGGGCTATCCCGCGGGCTATGGGGATTTGCTGCCAAACTTAATTGCTGTTGCTGCTGCAGCAGCAACAGGAAAACCCTCGAAGTTCACTAACTTCGACTCTTCCAAAAACCCCAAAATACATCTCCTTGCTCCCGGGGAAAACATCATCGTCTGCAGCGACAAAAACCACAAAAGTAAGCTCCAGGGTTTAGGGTTTAGGGTTTAGGGTTTAGGGTTTAGGGTTTAGGGTTTAGGGTTTAGGGTTTGGGGTTTGCGGCTCGATTAGGGTTCACGGCTTGGGGGGTCAGGGCTAGGGTTTATGTTGGAGGGTTAGCGCGTAGGCGTTGGAGGGTCCACGGTTTAGCATTTAGGGTTTAGGGTTTAGGGTTTAGGGTTTGGGGAAATCTAGGGTTTAGGGTTTGGGGTTTGCGTACTATAAAAGGGTGCGGGAGAGTCTGAGCTTCACGACTTAGAAGAGTCTAGGATTTAGGGTTTAAAGTTTATGGTTCAGGGGAATTCAGGGTTTAGGGTTTAGGGTTTAGGGTTTAGGGTTTAGGGTCTAGGGGAGTCTAGGGTTTAGAGTTTGGGGTTTTGCAGCTGGACAAGGAAGCAAGCCAACAAATAAGTGTTTAGGGTTTTGAAAGAAAAAGAAAAACAAAAAAGAATTAAAGGGTTTAAAGATAAATAATTAAAAATAGAAGCAGCAAGAAATAAATTTTCTTTTTTTGGATTCCGAAAACCCTCAAAAATGGTTCATTAAAAAAAGATTATTTTAAAGAAATGTTTCCTTTTATAAAACACTTTTTAGTGGTGAAATATTTATAAAAAGAGTTTACTTGTGAAGGTAAATGGCAATAAAATGAAAGGGCTTTAGTATGCCATTTTGAGCGTTTTCGAAAACCCTAAACCCTAAACCCTAAACCCTAAACCCTAAACCCTAGATGTGAATTCATGACTCTAGCCAAGTGGGTTATAAAATACAATTTAGAATTTTCGTATTGGGGTTTAAAAATAACTAAAATAGTGTGGGAGGTTGCGGGTATAGAGTGTATCCTTTAAAATGTTTTTGAAAACAAAATTAATAAAAAGACTAATTGGAAGCAAAAGAGTTTATAATATATCATTTTAATCCTCTTTAAAAGCTGCAGAAGAAGCAGCAAATGCTATTTTAGCCCTTTAATCCAAAAAGGGAATTTAAAACAAAGTTGTTGTCCAGTCCGTTTTGCAAAAGTAGAAAAGGTTTGCTGAATAGCAAAACGCGCACGAGTGCAAACCCCTCAGACGCTGCAGAAGAGGCAGCAAACGCTTCTCTGGCCCCGGGCTGAAAAGCGAGAATTGGGAATTGATTTTTGTGATGAATTCTTTTTTAAAAATGGACCACTGGAAAGAAAAAGAAGTCCTAATATACCATTAGAATTGTCTTTTTGAGCTGAAGAAGAAGGAAAAGTCGCGGGCTTCGCCCGCGAAGTCCCCGGAGAGATATTAAAAGCTGCTGCTGCTGCTGCGCCCCACAGGCTACCTCGAGGCCAGCGGCACCTCCTTCGCTACGCCCATTGTGTCTGCACTGGTGGCGCTGCTGCGCTTCGAACACCCGCAGCTGAGTGCGCGGGAGGTGAAGGACATTTTAATTCGGTCTTGTTACAAGTACGGATTTGCAAAACTGGGAAAAGTTTCCAAGTGCGGGGGCATTGTGAGCGCCCGCAGGGCCTTCAAGCAGGCCCGCAAGCTTCTGGAGAGCTCCAGAGAACTTTGAAATGAATTTAAATTAAAAATTAATTCAAAAAAAGTCCAAAATGCTCAAAAAATTCAAAAAAATGAACTCAAGGGCCAAACGCAGTTGGGGCTGCATGCGCGGCGTTCGGGTGTATGCGCAGCTCCCGCTGTCGCCGCTTCTTTTCCGGTTTCATTAATTTGTTTTATTTTTGTTTTGAAGTAAATAATTTCACAATTAAAGATGTTTTTATTTTTACTTGAATAATTAATTTAAAACGCATCTTTTGAGGTTTATTTTGCCCTCTGCAGCAGCAGAAATGACACTTTGAAGTGCCTTAAAATTCGTTTTTCATTTTCTGAATTTGAAATTTGTTTTTCAACTTTTACCGATTTGAAAATGAACAAATATATTAAGTTCGTTTTTTGTTGAGTTTGTTTCTATTATTTGTTTGATAACTATTTATCTACTTCTTCATCCATTTAATTAATTGATTAATTAATTATTCATTACATTTAGTGAAAGATTTAGTTATTTCATTTGAAAGTCTATTTTATTCATTTTTATTCGAGACACCCCGACATCATTTGCCGGGTCTAGGGTTTAGGGTTTAGGGTTTAGGGCTTAGGGTTTAGGTTTGAAGGTCCAGCCTTTACGGCTCAGGATTTAGGGTTCAGGGTTTAGATGGTTTAGTGTTTGCGGTTTATGGTGCGGGGTTTAGGGTTTAGGGTTTAGGGTTTAGGGTTTAGGGTTTAGCACCTTTGTAATGATGTTTCGAAAAATGATTAAAGAAGGCATCTTGAGAAAAAGGAACTTTAATTTTCAAAACTCAAGTATTGTTTTTTTTGCAAATTTTAAGAATGTTTCTATTCAATTACTGGCAAAGCAAAGTTTATTATATCTCCTGCTGGCTTTGTGAACAGCTCAAACAAGAAAAGATCTGCAGCAACTTTAGCCCCTTTATTGTTCATTAAAATTTATTTATTATTTCTTTTTAAATGGTATTTTAATTTTAATTTATAATTTCCTTCGGAGTTCATTTTTGCTGCGGGTGAAATGAAAGAAACTCTGGTGTGCGGGGTCACTGCTGCTGCGGCGCCACTGTGGAAATGAGTCAATTTGCGGGTGATGTTGGCCTTATAACCCTTTAAAAAAAAGGAAAATAAAAATTAAATGCAAATTTTAATTTAAAATTTAAAAAAAGAATTGTTTTGAAGGTGAAAGCGTCCGAAAACCGTGTGGGCGGTGCTTTAGCGCTGGTGTTGTCGAGGTGTCGGTACACCCGAGCTTGCGGCCGGTGGAGCCCAGGGAGGCTCTTTGGCCGGTTCTTTTTCATTTTTTAAATAAAAAATGAATTTAATTAGAAGAATTATTTAAAATAAAATAAAAAGAGGGGAAAAAGCAGGAAAATTCTGCGTAGAAGAGGGCTGGAGCTGCGAGGTCACCGGCCCAGCTAGCCAGTGGTCACCCGCGGGCGCGGGGCTCTCTCGACTTCGTCGAGCATCTTTGATCACTTTTGTCTTCTTTGCATTTTATCATTTCTTTGATTTCCCGGAAAAGCCATTTCAGCCGAAAGTTTCTGTCTGCGGAGCGCAATGAGTGCTGCTGCTGCTGCTGCTGCTGCTGGCTCGCGCCGCCTGCTGCGGCTCCCGCTGCTGCTGCTGCTGGGCCTTTGCTGCTGCTTCTGGGGCCTCCTGGGGGCCCCCTTTGCTGCGGGGGGCCCCCGCTATGGGTACGGCTGGGGCCGCCGCCGCTACTGGGGCGGCTACAGCCCCTACTACTACCCCTACTATGGCCTGGGGGGGGCCTACGGGGGAGGGTACTACGGGGGCCCCCTCACCTTTTACCCTTACGGAGGGTACGGAGGGTACTACTACGGGGGCCCCAGTGTGAGTTGGTCTTCAGGTCCTTACAGCCAAACTGTGCGTTTTCTGGCCAAGTTTGACGAGCTGAGGGGCCCCCAGGGCCGTGCAGGGGGCCCCCCTGCTGCTGCTGCTGCTGCTGCAGCAGCAGCAGCAGCAGAAGTGCCCGCGCAGGACGCCTCCAGCAGCTGAGCAGCAGCGGCAGCAACTGCGAAGCACGCAGAGGCCGCCCGCGGCAGCCTCAGCAGCAGCAGCAGCAGCAGCAGCAGCAGCAGCAGCAGCAGCAGCTAATGCGGCAGCGTCTAAGCAAGCAGCAACAGCAGCAGCAACTGATGTGGCAGCGTCTCAAAAAGCAACAGCTGCAGCAGCAACTAATTTGGCAGCGTCTGATAAGCAGCTGAAGCAGCAGAAGCAGCAGCAACGAGTGTGGCAGCGTCTGCAGGAGCAGCAGCAGCAGCAGCAGCAGCTGCGGCAGCAGTATCAGCAGCAGCAGCAGCAGCAGCAGCAGCAGCAGATCTGGAGCTGCTGCTTGAATGCCTTCACTCGCGCCGTTGGAAATAAATTTTTTTAATTTAATTTTTAAAAATAAATTAAATTTAATATTTTAAAAAAATTAAATTAATTTTATTTCATTTTATTATTTACTTTGAAGGGGGGGGCTCTGGGTCTGCGGCGGCGGCGGTCTCGAGCGGACTTCCACTTCCAGATAAGAGAAATGTGCATTAAAAAGTGCAAAAAAAGCGAAATAAATACAAAATTGAAAAGCAAAAATCAAATAATTAAATAATTTAATTTATTTAATTCATTTAGGCATTAAAAACTCGAAGAAACTTCAAAAATTGCAACTCCGACGAAGCCTCCTGCCGCCGGCGCGCGGCCGCGCGGCGCCGAGAGGCCTCTTCTGCATGCAAATGAGGAAATAAATGAATTAAATAAATAAAATAAATAAATAAATAAATATTTTATTTTATTTCTTTTCATCTTTGACTATTTCTCCTGAAAAGGGCACTCAGGGGGCCCCCAGAGTTCAGATTCGGGGGCCCCCAGCCTGCTCTCCGGGGGCCCCGACCTTCTATCCTTAGGGGCCCCCAGAGCTAGCTAGCTAGCTAGCTAGCTAGCTAGCTGCCTGGGGGCCCCCAGATCTGGTACCCTGGGGGCCCCCAGGAGCTGCGGATCTGTCCAGGGGGGCCCCTGGGCCCCCGTGGTGAACCAAGGGGGCCCCCGGCAGCTGGCTAGCTACCAGGGGGGCCCCCAGGGCTAGCTAGCTAGCTAGACACCTTGGGGGCCCCTAGGAGCCAGCTAGCTAGCTAGCTCGGGGGCCCCCAGGGCCTGCTGCTAGGGGGGCCCCCAGGAGCTAGCCAGCTGCTCGGGGGCCCCCAGGGGTTGGCTAGCTGCCTAGGGGCCCCCATTTAGTACCCAGGGGCCCTAGCTAGCTAGCTAGCCGTGGGGGGCCCCCCTGGCTAGCTAGCTGTCGGGGGGCCCCCCCGAGCTGCGGTCTAGGGGCCCCCGGGGGCCCCCTGAGGGTCTTTTTTCTTTTTTGTTTTTTTAAAAAAAGTTAATAATGGATTTTTATTTATTTTCTTTTTCGCTTTTGCTTCTGGTTTTGAGGTGTATAGACACCCTGGCGCTCAGGCCCTCCTCCAAAAACAAAATAAAAAACCAAGACACACTTTCGCTGGGGGAACTGCTGCTGCAGCAGCAGCAGCAGCAGCAGCAGCAGCAGCAGCAGCAGGCCGAAGCAGAAGCAGATACGCAGCAGCACCATGCAGCAGCAGCAGCAGAGAAGCAGCAGCAGCAGCAGCAGCAGCTGGTTGGGGCACTTCCTCCAGCAGCAGCAGCAGTGTCTACTGTAGAGGTCCTGAATGCAGCAAACCAGGACTTGCTTCCTGCTGCTGCTGCTGCTTCAGAGCAAGAGGAGCAGCAGCTGCAGCAGCTGCAGCAGCAGCAGCTGCAGCGGCTGCAGCAGGATGTGCTGCTGCCTGCCGCAGCTGCTGCCGAGCTGGGGGAGCAGCAGCTGCAGGAGCTGCAGCGGCTAGAGCAGCTGCAGCAGCAGCAGCAGCACGACTTGCTGCTGCTGCCTGCTGCTGCTGAGGAGCAGCAGCAGCAAATGCTGCTGCTGCTGCCGGCCGAAGGCGGCGCCATCTCCGTGCCCCTGGAGCAGCAGCAGCAGCAGCAGCAGCAGCAGCAGCAGCACGCACACTGCCTCCTTCTCGGGGACTTTGGTGTCTCCTGTTTGCTGCAGCAGCAGCAGCTAAATCAAATTTTAATTATTTTAATTGCTTTTGTTTCTTTCATTTCCTTTTCCATTTTGGTGCTCTGCTGCTCTGCAGCAAAAACAAAAAAGCAAAAACACCGCAGCAGCAGCAGCAGCAGCAGCAGCAGCAGCAGCAGCAGCAGCAGCAGCAGCAAGCAGCAAAAGGAGAGAGAAGAGACTCTCCGCAAGAAGCTGCTCAAACTCAGACCCTAAACAAAAAAAGAAAATTAAAAAATAGAAAATAAAATAACTTTAAAAATAAATTTAAAAAAATAGAAAAGATAATTAAAAAACAATTGAAAGAAATTAAAAAAGAAATGATTTGAAGAGAAATAATTAGAAAAAAGAAGAACTAAAAATGAAATAATTAAAGACAATTAAAAAGAAATAAAGAAATAAATTAAAAATAATTTCTGATCTTATTTTATTTCTAATTTTAATTTTATTTTCATTTCTAATTTTATTTTCATTTTTAATTTTTTTTCAAAATGTTTATTATTTACAATTAAATGTTATTTGCGATTTAAAATATTGTTTATAATTATATTCATTAAATATAAATCTATTAATTATTTGCAAGTTTATTTATTATTAATAATTATATTTATTATTATAATTAAATATATTTTTTGTAATTGTATTTATTATTTAAAAACGTATTTACTATTTATAATTCTATTTCTGTTTTATAATCAAGTTTATTATTTAGAATTTTATTTATTTATTATTTTAAAAACTCATTTATAATTAAATATAAAGTATATTTATCATTCGTAATTTTAATTATTATTTAACTTTATTTATAATTGCACTTTAATTGTATTTACTATTTATAATTACAATTTATAAATATAATCACATTTTAATTGTATTTGTTATTTGGATGTAAAATTAATAATTATAATTACACTTTAATTAAGTTTTTTGTTTATAATTAAAATTATTATTTTGAATTAGACTTTGGATTATATTTTTTATTTTTAAGCCAAGTTTTGATTTTCAATTTATTTAAGATTTCATTTAAATTTACAAAGAAAAGGAAAATTTGATTTGCATATTTTGCGTTCTTTTATTTATTTCTTCTTTTTTATTTATTTTTGTTTATTAATTTTTATTTACTCATTTTTATTTATTTTATTTTTGTTTTGCCGGAGAAGCGGCTTTGCTGCAGCAGCAGCAGCAGCAGCAGCAAGCGGCAGCAAACGCAGCAGCAGCAGCAGCAACTCAGCAGCAACAGTAGCGGCAGCATCTGCAGCCGGAGCAGTTGCTGCTGCAGCAGCTGCTGCAGCAGCTGCAGCAGCAGCAGCTGTGGCAGCTGCAGCAGCAACTACAGCAGCAGCAGCAGCAGTTGCTGCTGCTCCACTTTATAGACAATTGAAACATCTTTTTAAAAGCATTTTTTTGTTTGTTTGGCAGCAAAAACAAATCAAAAAAGAAATAAAATAAATAAAAATAAAAAGGAGTTTAAAAACTTAAATAGTCAGTTTCTGCGGAGCTGTCTATACACCCAGTGCATGCATCTCCACCCCACACCAGGGGCACTTTCCGAAGCTGCTGCAGTAAGCAGCAAGGTCTGCTGCTGCTGCTGCTGAGCCGCAGCTAGGGCATTTGCTGCTGCTGCTGCTGCTGCTGCTGCTGCTGCTGATGGGAAAGCCAGTCACGCTGCAGGGCTGCTGCTGCTTGCTGCATGCAGGGCATGTCAAGCCCCAAATGGAAACAGCGGCCCCACACCCCTCGCAGTTGCTGCAGCAGCAGCAGCAGCAGTAGCAACCACAGCAGCAGCAGCAACAGCAGCAGCAACAGCAGCAGCAACAGCAACAGCAGCAGCAGCAGCAGCAACACGCGTTATCTGTGAAGATTGTAAATTGTTGATTGCCTGGCTGCTGCAGCCGCTGCTGCTGCTGCCATTGCTGCAGCAGCAGCAGCAGCAGCAGCTGCTGCTGCTGCTGCTGCTGCCATTGCTGCAGCAGCAGCAGCAGCAGCAGCAGCTGCTACTGCTGCTGCTGCTCTTTAAATTATAATTGAATGCATGCAAAAACTCACTAAGTTTCAACTTGGGGCTTTTGCTGCTGCTGGACACTCCAGGCCAAAACCAAGTCCCGCGCCTGCTCCTGCTGCACACTGGGTCTGTAAATAAATAATAAATAAATAAATAATAAATAAATAAATGAATAAATAAACAAATAAATAAATAAGTAAATAAATAAATAAATAAATAAATAAATAAATAATAGATATATATGTATATACACACAGTTAAATAGATAAATAAATGGATAAATAAACAAATTGATAAATAATAAACAAATAAATAGATGAATAGTGAATGAATAAACGAATAAATAAATAAATAAACACATCTATTAAAAGAAACAAATAAATACATGTATATATATAGATTGACAGGTGATAAATAAATAAATTGATAAATAAGTAGATAAATAAATAGATAAATAACAAATAATAAATAAATAAAAAATAAATAAATAAATAAATAAATAAATAATAAATAAAATAAAAGACCTGGAAAGAATCCAAAGTCCGTGTTGAGGGTTTCGAACTTTCTGTGTCTGTACACCTCCTCGAAAATACAAAAAGTCCATTTGCGGCGAAGAGTGAGAATACCTTTAAATAAAAAACAATTTAATTTTAATTAAAAATAATTTAATTAAATGATTTTATTCAAATAAATTTTATTTAACTAAACAATTTAATTCAAAAATAAGCATTAGTTAAATAAGTTGTTTTGTTCAAAAAAAACTATTGAATTAATCAATTTAATTCAAAAATAAATGTTATTTAATTAAACAATTTAATATGAAGGTGAATATTATTTAATTAAATTGTTTGATTTAAAAAAAAAGATAATTGAAGGAAATTGTTTGGTTTGAAAGAGATGATTTAATTAAACTCTTTAATTCAAAAATAAATATTATTTAATTCAACTGTTTAAATTAAAAAGACAAGTTAAATTCGAATTAAATTGTTAAATTTAAAGAAGATTGTTTAATTCAATTGTTGAATTCGAAAATATTATTTATTCAAACAATTCAACTTAGTAAAGCGACTGTTTAATTTAATTGTTTAATTTAAAAATGAGATAATTAAATTCATTGTTTAATGCTTTAATTAGATTGTTTAATTTAAAAAGAGAATTTAATTTTAGTTGTTTATCTTTTAAAAAAGTATTCTAAATATATTGTTTAATTTAAAAAAAGATAAGTTATTTTTATTTGTTTGATTTAAAAAAAGAATTAATTTAGATTTTTTAATCAAAAAAAGAGAATCTTTAATTCAGATCATTTTATTCAAAAACTATTAAAAAAAATAGAATTTAATTCCATTTTTTTAATTCAAAAAATTATAAACTAGTGTAGACTGTTTTATTTTTAAAAAGATAATTTAATTAAACTGTTTAATTCCAATAAGGGAACTTAACTAAACAGTTAAAATCATTAATCTAGATTTTTTAATTAAAAAAGAGCAATTTAATTTAGATTATTTAATTAAAAACGATATAATATAACAATAAATAGACAAATTAATTAATTGATTAATTGATTAATTAACTAATTAATTAATTAATTAATTAATTGATTAATTGATTAATTAGTTAATTAATCCATTTATTTATTTATTCATTTATGGCAAGATGAAATGGCATTTGAAATTAGAAATAAAACACGAAGAGCCAAAAAGCATTAAGAGGTGTAAAATTGCGAAAACAATTTAAAATATTTTTAAAATATTTTAAATTAATTTAAATCATTTATTTTTTTTAATAAATCGGAGACTTTCATGTAATCTCTTTTGTGTTTAAAAATGATTTAAAATTATTTATTTTAATTCTAGCACCGAATTTGCTGCTGCTGCTGCTGCTGCTGCTGCTGAATTCAGGTGTATGTACACCTCAACACTGCTGCTGCTGCTTTTGCTGCTGCTGTCTCCAGTCCCTTTTGTCCCTCACAAGCAGCAATTATGCACTCATAGTGGGCCCGCAGCAGCAGCTCCTGTGCTGCTGCTACTGCTGCTGCTGCGCTGCTGCTGCTGCTGCTGCTGCTGCTGCTGCTGCTGGTGGCGGGGTGTACAGACAGCAGAGAGGGGGGACTCTTTCCTTTGCTGAACAGCCTGAAGAAGAAAAAAAATGTTTTTTAGATTTTTAATTATTTGTTTATTTCTATACATTAAATTTGACAATAACAAATATTCATTTATTCTGTGATTTACTTGTTCTAGGGTTTAGGGTTTAGGGTTTAGGGTTTAGGGTTCACACTACAGATTAAGGGTTATCTGCAAGGATCTAGGGTTTAGGGTTTAGGGTTTAGGGTTTAGGGTTTAGGACTTGAGGCAGATTTCTTTGATGAGAGCAGCAGGAGATTTGTCTCCTTGTGTCTCTTTGTCTCTTTTTTCATTTTTATATTCTTCCATTTGCTGCTGCTCGAGTTGGCAGCAAACGCGGACACAGAGTGGTGCTGCTGCTTCTTCTGCTGCTGCTGCAGCAGGTGCAGCAGCAGCAGCAGCAGCAGCAGCAGCAGCAGCAGCATAAGCTTCGAAATTCGACAGCAAAAACTCAGCAGCAGCTCGCAGCTGCTTCGCGGCCAACAGAGACTGGACACAAGGAGACAAAAAGGAGACATTTATTTTTAAAATAAAAAAACAAAATTAAAATTAAAATTAAAATTTAAATTTAAATTTAAATAAAACATAAATATGAAGCAAATGCGGCAAATCCGTTTTCTTAAGCCCTAACAGCAAAGCTCTAGCTGCTGACGCAGCAGCAGCAGCAGCAGCAGCAGCAGCAATGAAAGCCACTGCAGCAGCAGCAGCAATGAAAGCCACTGCAGCAGCAGCAGCACCATCAACAGCAGCAACAAAAGCCGCAGCAGCAGCAGCAGCAGCAACAACAACAACAACAACAACAGCAGCAGCAGCAGCAGCAGCAGCAGCAGCAGCAGCAGCAGCAGCAGCAGCAGCAGCAGCAGCAGCAGCAGCAGGACCTCGACTTTGTGTTCGAGGAGTTGGGGGAGTTTGCTGCAGTTGTAGTTAATGGCAACTTTTATGCACTCTTTCCATTTGTCTCTTTTGGCCAACAAAGCAACAGCAGCATCAACAAATCCCAAAGACAAAAGTCCCGAAGTGTCTCCTTTTGCTGCTAGCTGCTGCAGCAGCTGCTGCGACACTGCAGCAGCAGCAGCAGGGCCTGCTGCTGCTGC